CTAGCATGACCTGTAATTTTTATAATTTGTTGTTCGTCAAGTCCAGATTTTGACAGGTGTGACACAGCCGTAGCTCTGTTGGAGTGGTTGGTTATATTGATGTTACATACGTCTAAACCAATTTTTTCTGCTGCCAATTTGGTCCATTTTCCTATTTCGTTCTTGCCTACAGGACAATTTTTGTACCATGGGGAGTTGTGGTTTTGCCATTGCGGATTCGGAGTTAAAAAAAATCTCTCCGTAGTAATATTTGTGGTCCGTTTTGACGAAAGTTTCTTGAACAATCTAAATAAAAAATAGATACCATGAAAACCGCAACTGGAGTTGTTTGGCTGTATGAAACCTACCTTACGGGACAAATATTTAGGTCGTCCTTGTTAGCAATTAACCATTTACTGTTGGCCAAGGGTTTTGCACCTCCTTGTGTAGTTTTTGAAAACACCGAATTGTATTCTATTCTGCCAGTTTCCTCTCCCTTATTATTTTTTTCAATTTTAAAGTAATGGAGTAGACAATTAGCCGCCTCCCCACCACGCCAGAGGCGGCTCGCCAGGTGAGGCAAGTGAGGCTGAACCTCACCTATGCAACAAGACATCATAATTATCAGTATCCAAAATTCAGATACAGCTTCGTAATATTAATAAAGTTACGTATTGTACAAAAAAAATATATATTTTTCACTGATTTTTGTCCCGCAAATTCGAAATTATTGATACGAGAGCACAGCATAGATAACAATCAGTAGAGACAGCTCGTGTCGGCGCCTTTGTTCTTTCTGAACCTCACCTATGCAACAAGACATCATAATTATCAGTATCCAAAATTCAGATACAGCTTCGTAATATTAATAAAGTTACGTATTGTACAAAAAAAATATATATTTTTCACTGATTTTTGTCCCGCAAATTCGAAATTATTGATACGAGAGCACAGCATAGATAACAATCAGTAGAGACAGCTCGTGTCGGCGCCTTTGTTCTTTCTGACCCGAATTTTAAGCCGTCATGGGTGGTCGTTGCCTAAACTATTCCTAGATGTCGCCACCCAATTTAAAAAGTCAAGGCCGACTGAATTCATGCGTTATTATAAGTAGGGAGCGGATTTCTGTCGGGCTAGACAAGGCCAAACTCGGTACGGCTCGTACGGGATGGGAATTCATTGAAATTACGGGCTGCACTTCGTTTATTTGAGATTAGAATAACGCTGCTTCGTTGCACTCTGCTGTTAATTCCAGTTCTCATTTACTTGGCCGTTTGATTAATAAATCGTTAATTGTATTTATGGAATCAAGTGCCAATTAAATTCAGTGCTTACCTATCACCCGCTACTGAGTCCCGGCGATGCAGCGCGTCCCCACCTATATCGTGACGTAGCCCGACAGAAATCCGCTGTCTAGTTATAAGGCCTGCTCACTTTGCAGAAAATTCGGTTCTCAAAAAGTAGGCCGTGACGTTTAGAAAGTGGCGACATCTGTCTGCCAATTCTAATCAGTTACTGTCAATCCTTGGCGCGAAACGTAAATATCCTTGTCAACGTAATTTTCTCAGTTTATTATTTTCTTGCTCCATTATTCATATTTCGTGTTTGATTTAACAATTTTTTCGTGTTCAGTTTTTTACTTTTCGTGTTTCATTTCTTAGTTTTCGTTTTTATTGGGTTATAAACAATTTATGTTATTTATTTGTTATTTGTAACAATGGGTAGACGTTGTGTCTTGTGCAAAAATAAAGACTTACCTTTGTGTGAAATACCTCAAGATCCCAACACTAGAAAAGAGTGGTTAGCAGGGGCGGCTCATGACTTGAAAAGTTGATGAGGCAAAGTTCAAAACGCTCCAAAATATAAATAATGCAAGGATACTTAAATAGACTCTACTTAGTCCGTTAAACAAATTTGTAAACTCATTTAACTGTCTAGCAAGAACCAACGTGGAGGTGTAGAGAACTCTTGCCAAGAAAGGATGGGAATGACAGGACAAAAGAAAAGGAAAAAGGAAAACATAGTCAGGAGAAACTAAATATAAATTCTAACAAAAAACAAAATTAAAATAAACTCTAAATAAAACATATAAAAAAAAACAAATACAACATAAAATAAATCTAATATGATGATTTATAACAAAAAACAAAACGAAAAAAAATTGATAAATACTGTGAATCTATTTTAAAACTTTTTGAAGATAAAGGGAATTCTGCGATTTTTTTGTTCCGCGAAATGATCTATTATTTCTTCTGTGAAGTTATCTTGAGATTTTATAAATTCCCTTTCAGTTGCAATTTCGGCCATGTTACTTAATCGCGCCTGCCCAGTGGTGTTTCTTATATAAGTTTTTATCCTTTTTAATGCCGAAAAACCCCTTTCTGTGGAAGCAGATGTTACTGGCAAGACAACAGCGACACAAAATAATTTGAAAAGTTGTGGCATGCAGGACTGAAGGTTATTCTCGTGGAAAAAAGCTAACATTTCAGTAGGAGTAGTACAATTGTCTACAATATTATTATTGTATAAAACAATCAATTCGTTTTTTAACTGACTCATGTCGAAAAAATGATATTGTTGTGTAAGCGTTTTTAGGAGTTCATCAGGAAATTGTTTAGCAAAAAATGAAAATATAGAAACATTAAGCAAATCAAAAAAATGTAATTTTTTTATGTCAAAAAATCTAATTTGTATTTGATTAATTATAATATCAAGAATTTCGAAAAAGAATTGCCTTAGTTGCTGCTGTTTATCGTTTATTTCATTCCCTTTGCGACGTTTGGGCGGTAAATTATCAATGTCAAGTTTCTCATAAATTTTGTTAAAAAAATTGTCACTGCTTCTAAATTCTCGTAATTTATCTAATGTTGTTAACAACAAATTCCTGGCTCTGAGAATATCTGTGAATTTACTTTGTAAAATAGAAAAGACGGTATCGGTCTGTTGAAAAATTAATACAAAAGTTTCTAAAAAAAATAAATTTTGGTAATTTTCCAGAAATCCTTTTAAACCCACCGCTCCTCTTATAGAAGCATCGTTAAATTCACGACTATTTATAATAAAATCAAAAACCTCCAACAATTTGTCCTTATTATTGTGAACAGTTAAAACGGCACGAGAAGTGAAATTCCAGCGAGTTGCTACATTAGTGGGCAGGCGCCGGCCACAAATTTCGTCCAAGACATGGGTGCGCTTCGTAGATTTTGAAAAATATGAGGAAAATCCTGACAAAGTTGCAAAGAAAACTCTAATCGACTGTATTGAACTACAGGCTCCACTTAAAACCAAATTAAAAGCATGTGTGTAACAATGAGTGAACAATGCTTGTGGTGCAACAGATTTAATTTTTGATTGCAGTCCATTCAATTCGCCAGACATTACAGCTGCTCCATCATATGTTTGAGCTACTAATTTAGTGTTCAGATCAAATTTGTCAAATTTAGTTACTAAAAGCTGAGATAGTTCTTCCGCAGATCGTCCGGAACTTACATCAAAAAATCCCATAAATCGCTCAACAGGTTGGCCCTCATGTATATAACGAAAAATAATAGATAATTGTGAATGACAATTGATATCTGTGGTTTCGTCGACCTGCCAAGAAAAAAATAAAGATTTTGAAATTTCATTTTCTATTTTCTTATTTAAAACAAATGCAATAGAATCTATTAATTCATTTTGAATTGTTTTTGACGTCCCAGAAAAAACAGATCTAATATCATTGTCCCTTTGCAAAAAAGTTTTTAAATCGGGGTTAAATTTACTAACTAACGTAACGAGTTCCTTAAAATTCCCACGATTTGAAGAATTTTCTGATTCATCATGCCCTCGAAACGGTAACTCTTGCATACATAAATGCATTGTAATTTCAATTAAACTTTTTAAAATTTGGCGGTTTTCCCGAACTTTAAGATTATAAGTTTCAATTTCAATTTTGCGTGCACTATCTAAAACCGTAGCAATATTTTGTTTTTTGTTCCTCATAAGAGCCAATTTACAGTTTGAAGAAATATGTTCTGTAGGTACTTTTGTTGTGCAGTGCTAAACCACGTGACAAGTTTTTAAGATCGGAAAATCCATTTTTCCACCACACTTTTTCGCTGTTATTTGCAAATAAGATACATGGCCAACAAAATAATTTATTCAACTGTATACTTCCGGTAAGCCAGTCGTACTTTTTATACCAAGTATTATTAAATGCTCGATTTGATTTTTCTCGTACGCGTACGTTAATTAACGATTTACTCAAATCTGGAACCGGCCGTTTTAATTCCTTAACAACATAGAGTTTATCATCGTAGGTGAGAGTAGAAAAAACACAATTATTTATCAAAAAGTCTACCACATCATTCGTATTCCTCAGAGTTACCTGGCACCCGAGTTCATGCACCTTGCTGGATTCTGGAACTGCCATTGTCGTAAAAAAAAATTCCGATTTAATAAAATTTACTCGTAATTTTAAATCTCGAATACCGAAATCAAACTATGAGAATCACAAAGTACTGACTCGACACACGCAACCGTAGGCACGCTTAACACAAAATTCTGTTCCCGAAATTTTGAATCAATTTATTCACACACAAATTTATCACAAAACAATCAACTGCCTAATTTTGAATTCGCCTGCAATTGCACCGTGCATACAATCGCACATGCTGCGCGCGCATATATTATCGTCTATCATTATTGCAAGCACGGAAATGAGGCTAGCCTCAATTTTATCTTTTTTCAACTCATTGCGCTTATGAGTGTACTGCAGGTTGCTTACATTTTAACAGACGTCATTTTTGCATCTACTGTAGAGGCAAGCTTCAAGTTGGCCTCATTCGCATTCGCATCAGAAAATACATGTTGTGTCGAGTGTTGAAGCGCGCTGTTTAATTAAGGGAGCAGCGAGTACCTACCTAGATAAGAGTAACAATATACAACAGTCTAACAATATAATGTAACATATTTATTTTTAAAATTTTAAAAAAGAAACACAAATTATGGGCAGAAATGTATCAGAAAAAAATAATAAAAATACGAATAAGGCGCAATTCATTGGTGAGGCACTGCCTCACCTGCCTCATCGGACAAGCCGCCCCTGGTGGTTAGAGTTCTTCAAAAAACATTACAGTAAGTATTTTTTAATCAAATTTACGGTACACACTTTTCTGATCCACTTGCAGATGCATTCGAAATAACAGATTTCACTGTAATTTGCAAGAAACATTTCAAAGAAAAATGTTTCAAGAAAGTTGCTACAGGATATCGTTTAATCAAGGGATCCATTCCTACCATATTTGTAAGTATAGTGCGGTAAAAAAATTTATTTTTAAATATTGTAATTATTTTTTAAATTTACAGTACTTTAGACAATAATAAAAAACATTTTAATAATTTTAATTCGTTTTAAATATAATTTTTGTTGAAGGATACTGATCCTGTTATACCTGGTCCTTCTTGCGCTTCCATTCCCGATTCAATTCACTTCAACGATCCCAATTTGTCTCCCAGAAACGAAATGAATAATTCCTCCAGTGAGATGACAGCTTTGCATGAGAAATGTAAAGCCTTAGCGTTAGAATTAAAAAAAGAAAAACGTTCTCATGCTCGCTGCTCTGCAAAACTTAAAAACATTGAGCATCAACTGAAGAAACATTCAAAAACCATAGACGTACTGGAGCAAATTAACAGCGATGCTGACAGTTCTGATGAAAAGGCCATTTTTCTACTAGACTTAATTCATAATTATAAGAAGAAATCGCCAAGATGGTCTGAAATGTCTGTTCGATCATGTACCGTGTGGAGATACTGTTCACCTAAAGGATACGATTATTGCCAAACACATTTGGTCAAATTACCATCTCGGGCAACCATAGACAGGCATCTTGGTCACTTCAATGGACAAAATGACCTTATCAAAGAACGTTTGTCTGTAGAAATTGCACATTTAGAGCATCCTGCACAACGATTGTGTTCACTAATTATTGACGATATGTCAATTAAAGAGAAAATGTATTATCACAGAGTTGAAGATCATATTTATGGCCTTAATACTTGCAGTTCTGACTCTTCTATTGGAAAAAAACCTAAAATAGCGAACAAAATGTTGTGCTATGTTGTACAAGGAATATCAGCAACATATACCATACCATGTGGGTATTTTTTCCACTCATCTATGCAAGCCAAAGAATTTCACTCTTTAACCATGCAAGTGATGAAACTATTAACAGATTGTGGCTTCATGGTGTTGAGGATTGTTACAGATAATCATCCCGGCAATGTTGGTCTATTTAAAAATTTAAGTGGAGGAATATTGCAAAACTGCATTAACAACCCATTTCTACCGATGCCCCTCTTCTTATCATTCGACTTTTGCCACGCAATCAAAAATGCTAGAAACCTCTTCTTAGACCATGACATGAACTCGTCAGCTGGTGTTATTTCGTCATCATTTTTGAAAGCTTTATATGACTTGCAAAAGGGGATGCCTGTAAAGCCTGTTAGATATCTAACTAAAAAACATCTATACCCATCTAATTTCGAGAAGATGAATGTTTTGCGGGCCATACAGGTATTTTCACCAACCGTTACCGCAGCACTGAAGCTCTTAAAAGAAGATAAATATGAAGATTTTGATAATAGCGATGGAACTATTTTATACATGGAAAACATGTTCCTCTTTTTCCAAGTCCACAATGTCTCAAGCAGAAGGCACTACATACATGCATTAAACAGCAGTATTGCACCATATATTGATATTTGTGATGAACGCCTGCAGTGGCTAAATAAGGACTTCCAAAATTATGTTGATGATATCCAGTCGATCTCTGCATGCACAGGGTACCAAGGTTTGAGCAACGAAACTGCTCACGCACTAAAATTTACAGCTCAAAGTACTTTTTTGTGTATCAAGTTTCTCCTCAAAGATGCAGGATTTTATTATGTTTTACCTCGTTGTTTCAGTTCCGATGCTGTTGAAGCAACTTTTTCTCATATACGCTTGAAAGGTGGTTCAAATGATACTACCGATGCTCGTGCTGCCGAGTATGGTTTACGGCAAATTTTGCGCTCTGGTATTTTAAAATCATCGACTTCTGCCAACACAGCAAAAACTATAAGTAATATAAGCCGTAACCAACTTTCTCGTGTGAGACCACAAAATATTGATGAAGACTTTGAAGAAATACTTTTACCAGCGACACTACGAACTAAAATACACAATTTAAAAAAGAATGAAATACCAGAGCCAAATCTATTCTCTGCCTCTGTGGCTTTCCTGTCGGGATACATTATTTTAAAGCTGCAACAAAAAAAACAATGTGACGACTGTGTAGCACCACTGCTCTCAACTACATTACCTGGACCTCTAATGAAATTAATCACACTCCAAGATCGTGGAGGTTTACTGTACCCCAACGAACCTTTCGTAGGACTCGTCAAAAGAATTGCTGAAATAACACAAGAGGTGTTACCACATTTAACTTTCAACAGAACATGCGGTCAACTCATCAAAATATTGGAACCACATTTATTACAAAACCCATTATTGTCTTGCCAACAGCACCAGAGTGAATTTTGTGTGATGCTAATTGTTATAGTAGCTAGACCAGTGTTATCCAATATTTGTCTGGAAAAAACAGACTCTTTAAAGAGAAAAATGTTGGATAACAAACCCTCGAGTAGAAAGGTATTAAAAGTTTAATATACTTACAAGTTTTCTGTGTATTGTTTTCGTGTTTTAATAATTTGTGTTTCTATCTATCGTTAGTGTTCATAATAGTATTATAACTTATTATCTTCTTTGTAAATAAAAGCTGACAAATTGACATAACCTATTGGTTAATTTACTTCGTTGTTTTAACTGCTAACGACAAATGATTGTCACAATCACGTCACAATATTTATAAAAAAACTCACAAGAGCACGCCACTTTCTAAACTTCTGACAAGAACTTTTAAAAAGCCCGAGTGAGCAGGCCTTATAACGCATGAATTCAGTCGGCCTTGTAAAAAGTATCACTTCATTTACAATTTCAAAAATTGATTCGTGTACGCAATTTATTGCAAACTGTCTAGTTTGCTCAAATCGTATAATCGTGAATCGCAATAAGAAAAAAGAAAAGTCCATATTTAATTTATAAACACGATGATTTGTTACAGTTTTTATTTTATTCATAACCACCGTTGTTGTTCGTTTGCGACGACTTTTTAAACAAAAAATGTGTTATGTTTACTATCTTTTCCAAGAATTCCAAACACGAGGGAGAGAATAAGACGCACAACAGGGATCCGGTATGAAAATTCATCGGACAAAGACTTTACCTTTTATTGTGAAAATTACATTTTTATACTATTTGTACAATTCTACCGGAAAAGCAGTCTTAAACAAGCAAAACTGGCAAAAATATTGTAACAAAACTGCCAAATTTCAAATATTTTAGACGTCAGTTGGGCGCCCTCATTCGGTCATAATGCGAACGACCACCAACGAAAACGGGTCACGAAAAACGGCGAGCCGTCTCTACTGATTGATATCTATGCTGTGACGAGAGGCTCAGAATTTTGCGGTTCAGTTCTACCTCTATTTTCGCATGCAGCGTACATTGGTGACGCACGCGCAGATATGTTTTAGTATGCTGAAATGAGGCTGTCGTCTTTGAGCTTAAAAACAAGATAAAACTTGTTCGGAAATGTTCGGCCACTCCATCGTCGGTTCTAAAACCATTCGTGATTATCACGAGCAAGTTGCATCTTTGCAAGATTCTAAAGCATTCTCCCGCTTATTTTACGGTGCTGTGCGTGTGTTGGTCGCTACTTTCGAACGAACAGGTTTACGCAGGTGTACGGTGTACTCAGGTAGATACAGGTTGTCCAAAGTCAAGGCATTTAAACCAAAGGTAGGATCTTTCCAGTGTATACTATTCGTTTACTTTGAAATTAATCCCCAACACGACATTGTTATGTCTCTGCTCGCAACGCCTTTTTCAAGGCGAAGTGAAAGTGAGAAACGGGAAATTTTACAGTATCGGCCCACGCATAAGATCGAAATTAATTGTCCAGAGAAAAACGTAACTCAAAAACGTACCTATTGCCGAACATTTCAGCTTTCATGGTACGAAAGCCACAAGTGGTTATGCGGTAGTAGATGCACTAACAGACTGTATTGTTGGCCTTGTTTATTATTAGGTAATGTTAAAAATGTATGGAATACCACTGGTTATTTTGATTTAAAAAACATCTCGCGAAGTACAAAGCTACATAATGATTCCAAAGAGCACATTAAAAATTGTATGGGCGTTAAGCGCGTCGAACGAAACACGTCAACAATATCCGATGCTGTGCAAGAACATGCAAGCATAAATAAAATTTTATACAACGAAAACGTTAGGAAAAATCGGCAGCTGCTAACTTACCTAATTGATGTAACTTTGCTATTAGGAAAACAAGAACTGTCATTTCGTGGACGTGATGAATCCACCCATTCGGCTAATCGCGGTAACTTCAGAGAAATTTTTGACTGCATGATTAAACGTAACTCGGAATTAAGTGAACATGCGAAAAAAGTTAGTCACATTTTTACCGGTCAATCGAAAACTATTCAGAATGAATTAATTTCATGTTGTGAAGAATATTTGAATGATTTTATCAAAAAAGAAATAAATAATTCCAAATTTTTTGCTGTAATAGCTGATGATACTACAGATATATCTGAAAAGTCCCAGTGTTCAATTACTCTGCGATTTGTTAATTGTAATGGCGAATTAAAAGAACGGTTTTTAGGATTCCATGATGTAAGTGCTGACCGGACGGCCAATGCTTTATTTGAACTGTTAATAAACGTTTTGAAGCCATTTGATTTTGAAAATAAATTAATCGCTCAATGTTATGATGGAGCTAGTGTGATGTCGGGTGAACTAAACGGTCTCCAAAGTCTCCTTCGGCTTTGTTTACTCACTGTGCGGCCCATAGATTAAATTTAGTGTTGCAGCAAGGGACTAATGGAATTTCCAAAGCTAGAATTTTTTTTGCAACAGTTTTAGGTATTCCGGCTTTTTTAAATCAATCTCCAAAAAGAACATTTACTTTAAATAACATTTTAAAAAGAAGTATACCGCAGGCTAATGAAACCCGTTGGTGCACACGTTCAAAAGTTGTTAACTTGGTTCATCAAGAGTGGGATAAGCTTAAGGTTGTTTTTGAAACGATTGTTAATGACAAGTCCTCTGGAATAGAGTCTATTACAAAGGCTCAGGGTTTCTTGAAATGTTTTGAGGACTTTGATTTTGCTATTTTCACTGTAATTTATAATAACATTTTTATAATAACTGATCCCTTGTTCAGAATTCTGCAGAAAAAAGTTTTAGATGTGAAATAATGTTTTTCTCAGATAAATATGGCTGTTTCACACATTAAGTCACTGAGGAACGAGATAACTTTTACAACAATTTTTGAGTGTGCAAAGTTGAGGACTGGTATTCCAAACAAACGTGGGAAAGTAACTGATGAAGCAGAGTTAATTACAACTTACCGCATTTTATTTTATGAAATTTTAGATTGTATCACATTTCAGTTAGACGTGCGATTTACAGACCTAAATAAATTAGAATTTTTGTCTCTTGTGGATTCTGCCAAATATATTGATTATCGCAACGAGTTTCCGTATGAAGCACTGAACTCATTAATGAAAACATACCCAAAAATTTTTCAAAAAGATCGTTTATTAAATGAATTATCAAATATATATTATGATGATCAATTCCAAAATAGTGATATACAACGTAGTTTAAATATTATTAATAAAGAGTTCGAAGACGTTTTTCCTGAAGTTAATAAACTGCTATCTTTAATAGTAACAATTCCAGCAACCAGCGTAGTTGCAGAAAGAAATTTTTCCTGTCTTAAACGTATTAAAACTTATTTAAGAAGCACCATGTCACAAGAACGTTTATCTGGACTCGCATTAATGTCAATAGAAGAATGCTTAGTAAATGAATTGAGCAGAAAACCAGACTTTTATGACGAAATTATAAATAAATATGCCACATTAAAAGATAGACGTATAGATTTAATATACAAAAATTAAGTTTTCAACAACAGTTCCGAATTAATTTATTATTAGTTACTTTAATTGTTAAAAGCCTCAATTGATCGCGACAAATTATAATAATGTAGGAATACCTATATATTAAATAGTATTCGGCGGTACCCCAATAACCATCTTGGATGAGCCTCACCGACTCAAATAGTCGCGAGCCGCTACTGCACCACGCCATGCAAGTTCATACGCTGAAATTTGGTAGAATTTCTTTTGTAAACCGGCTGGTGTGTCCTCGTTCCAAGCTGTCACCATTTTTCGTATTTCATCACCAGAAAGAACTGTTGAACTACTTCTTCTTTTTTTTTAATGAACTTTGCAAAGTTTTTCGTTTAGCATCACGAGCCCTTCTTGCTTCGTTAAACGTTGAGTCAGAAAAAGGGTTGAACTTAATATTGTACTTGTAGTCGTACATTTCTTGGACTTCTTTGGCACCTACATTCCAAAGCGTCTTTACGACACACTCCTTATATTCCTCACCATTCTTACGCCTCATATTGTAGCCCCAATCTTTCAAAATGTTGGCGATTTCTTCAATGGATCTTTGATGGTCCAGTACATAATTTTTCTCCTGACAAAAGGCATTAAACTGTTTCCACGCAGATTTTTTTGATTTTTTTGTATTTTCTGGGATAGAATTAATAATTGCTTCATCAATAGTTTGAAAACAGGAACTTCCAAATCTCTTAGAAGTGCACATTTTTCTCGTACGTAAATTATTTTACTTTTAATAAAATTATTGTTTACGTGTCATTGCCATCGATACTAACTATATTGGCAACTTGATAGAACTGTTGAATATAATAAAGTGCCGTTCATCAACGGTGGTTCCTTCGGCAAATTCTCATATAAAATACCACACGCGATGGAAATATTCTCAGATAATTTTTCTTCTGAAGCACTCGTGTCTGCTGTTTAATTCCCTCCTGCTTCGCAGTCGGGAATTATTACAACAGCAGACACTCGTGCTTCATAAAAAAATTATCGATAATATTTCCATCCCTAGTGGTATTACTATTGAATCTTTACAATAATTATCACCAAAGTTAAAAGTACAATTATTAAAATAAACATTTTGAGCGGTGTTCTTGCTAGTACTAGAGCTAGAACTGGAACTGCCACACGCTTCACTATAACTTAGGTTCGTGGGCTTGTCCATAACGATTTCATTGTCAACTAATTCATTCGGTGCCAGCTTTTCATCTCCAAAAACTTTTTGAGCAATTTTCACTCTTTCTACAAAAGATTCTTGTATGTAAGATTCTGCCACCTTGGTCGATTCCCACCCGCCATGCCTCTTCAACGAAGTAATGTCTCCACCTGCATTGAATATAAAGTTACTTTGAAGAATAAAGGTAATCATTACAATACCTGCGTTAACCAGGAGAGTTGCTGAACTGCGGCGAAAAGAATGACCTGTGTATTTAGCTGGATTTTCCAGTTTGAGGAAAGTTGCAATTTTTCTGGGAATTTTTCCAAAGGTGTCTCTTACATTTTCGCGAGTACATTTACAATAGTGTAAAAAAAAACTCAATGGTGAATTTGTGGGTCGTAAAGCAACATAACGTCGATACAAATCAATGGTATTAACACCAAAGCCTTCATTAACTACACTGAATCTTCTTTCTTTGTGGGTTTTACTGTCAGGTATAACAATATTTAGAACATTACCACAATCTTGTATATCGTCAAATCTCATAGCACACAATTCGGCCTTTCTGCAAGCTCCGGCAATTCCAAAAATTAAAGCAACCTACACGATTTCATATGTATAAAAAATACTTCTTATTAAGTAATTCTTACCTTCTCGAAT